TGCTAGCATGCTAGCTCCCCAACACTCACCAGTTCCCTCTTGACAAACCGTGATCGTTTCAACGTTTAGCCGAATGTTCACGTCTGTAAGTTAACAGAGGCACACAATTGATAGATGTACAATCGACATTTGAAAACCGCTTTGGGAACCGAACAGAAGCCTACCTGCACGTCAGGGTCCGACAGCGTCTCCTACCTAAGGTGCGATTCAGCAGCAATATAAGCCGTAGCTGTTAATTTAGGACGCTGACGTGCAGCTGTCACATGACGTTGAAACATCGCGAGAAGAATGTTCTCGCTTGGTTTGTGTTAAATAAATTAAGGAAGGGAGGATTTTAATTTAATCTTTAAATAAAAATAAAATTAGATCTAACAAAATAGAAAAATAAAAAACTGAATCTAACAGAAAAATTATCCTGGTTACATGAAACACGCAGGACGCCGGGCCTCCTGGACTCCTGGACCAGAACCACTGCTTTAGGTTCTGATGCTCAACTATTCATGTTTTGGAATAAACATTTATTAGTTCAGACATTTTTATCCAAACCCTAAATATTCAAGAACTGAACATAAGAATTGGTGTTGAACAGAGTCATCATCAATCAGATCCCTATATCATTGTTGATCATTATTGATCATCACTGATCATTATTGATCATGTCCCTATATCATTATTGATCATTATTGATCATCATTGATCATTATTGATCATGTCCCTGTATTCCATCAGGTCTCACATTGTGGATCTTCCTTCCTTTTGTGATTCTGTAATAATGTTTAGATGTTTGGAGACGTATGGTAAATATGTATGTTAGTAATTTATAATCTGAATTTCTGAGTAATTCGTCTTCTATTCTCAATAAATCTGGGGTCCTTGTCAAATTATTGTTTCATTGCAGTGGGTATAATGTGATTTTTAAACATTTCTGTAAAAACTTGATGTAATATTTTTGTGTCTCCCCAAAAGTGTTTATAAAAGTTTCCTGTGAGTCCATCTGAACCTGGTGCTTTGTTTAATGATAAGCGATTAACAGCCTTATCAAATTCTTCTATCGTAATATTGTTGTCACAAGTTTGTTTGAAATGATCTTCTACTTTAGGGATAAAAGTTTCAATTGTTTTAAAAGAGGTGCGAGATTTTTGTTCTGAGAATTCGGAGGTATAGAAGTTGTTATAGAATTAAAAAATGTTGAAATTAAGTTTTTATTATTGGTTTCTACATTATCTACTATTAAGGAGTTAAAATTTTGTTGTCTTTTTTCCAAATTATAAAAGTAAGCAGTGTTTTTTTCCGTCTCGCTCCTGATCTAATAAAATGCTCCTTTGGCCCTTTTAATATATATTTCATCTAGTTTAGGTTGGAGGAGTTGTACCGTTTGTTTGTCTTCAATTGAGGGGTTGGGTTTATTGCAATATATATTTAGTTGCATAATATCAAGTTCTTTTTCTTTTAGTTCTTTTTCAGTTTGTTTACTGATCTTGTACTTTAGGAATTCCCATTTTTGAACAGGACTACTTAGTTCTTCAGAGTCCTTAATATTTTGGATTAGTTCTTTGATTTTTTTGGCAGTAAGTGTCATTTTTAAGAAGACTGTAGTTAAATTTCCAATATTTACTTGTGCCTGATTTCCAGTTTTGAGGTTTCATTTGTAAGGAAATAAGGCAATGGTCAGTCAACGGTGCAGCAGAAATACCTGAGTTGGTTTCAATGGTCAATAATTCATTTGTTATAAGCCAGTGATAAAATCTTGATTTGCTCTTTGAACCAGACCATGAAAATTTTATACAATTGGGATTAAGATGATGCCACAGGACAACCAGATTTAGTTCATTGCAGAAATTGTTAAATATTTAGTTTGGGTAACTTGAGTTATGTTTAGAAGGCCACTTGTCATAAAATTCATCTGGAACGAGGTCAAGATCTCCTCCAATTATAACATTGTTGAGTAAAATGATTTTTGCTGGTCTCGATTTAAGGCCATTTCTTCTAGCAATAATTTGTTCTGGTTTAGATTATTATAACCATATATATTTAACAAGATAAGCACTAAGTTATCTAAACAGACAGTGAGGAATAACCAGTGGCCATTTTCATCCATTTTACTTGAGATAATCTGACCCTGGAAGTTATAAAGAAGAATAGCGACCCCTGCTGATCTTGAAGAGCCATGACAGAAATAAGGCTCATCTCTCCTTTGTTTAGACCAAAAGATGTCATCTTCTTGTTTCAAATGAGTTTCCTGTAGGAATATAATATTTGCATTTTTCCCTTTACAAAATAAAAATAAACTTTTCCTTTTAGTCAAGTATCTTAGGCCACTGACATTAACAGAAATGAGAAAAAGTTCACTTTTCAAGTTAAACATAAAATATGAATAAAATAAAGTAAAACAGTATTAAATGGGTTTTACCTGAGAAGAAACTGAACTTTAGGTAGCAAAAACTCCTGAACTAATAAAATTATCTGAAGTCAGAAATTATCATGAATTGCTATTGTGCCCCTAAGGAGTAACTCGTTGTCCGTTGATAAAGGCATATGGACCTTTGAACACCGCCTTTATCCCAGCTTTCCGTGCTTGCTCTACTTTGGGCCACACAGCCAGTCGTGCTTCACGGTCTTCTTTGGTGAGGTCTTCAGAGAAACGGATGTTGAGCTCCCTGCAGACGGGGTGTTGTTTAGTGGATCGCCAGAGTTCATCCCTGAAGATCCGACCTGTAAACTGCACAATGATCTGCCGTGGGCGGTTGGTGTTGTTCGGGCCAAGACGGTGCACAGTGTCGAGAATAATGTCCATCTTCTCTTTCCAGTGTGGCATAATCTGCTTAATGAGATTCGTGACTTTCTGTCTTGTCTTCCTCCTTTTCCTCTTTTAAGCCGTTGATGCGCAGATTCCATCTTTTTTTTATAGCGCTCTGATTCTGCCGTTTTCCTTTCAGAATCTTGGACCTTCTTTGTCAGCACAGCGTTTGTGGCTTTAAGTTGTCCAATTTCATCTTCCATCTTTTTATTTCTATTTTTACAATCTTGGATTTCAGCGCTATTGAACTCCACCGCTTTAGCAATGTTTGCAATAGAGAGCGTGTTTCGTTTCATTTCTTCAAAGTTCAGCATCATTTTCTGAACTTTGGTGAGAGAGTTCAGAAAATGAACTTGGCGTTATCTTAGTATAATCTTGGCATTGGATGCATTTGAACTAACCTCTTCGTCTCTCTTTGTCTTCTTGCACGGTGATGTCACAGCATTTTTAGTCCCTTTGGCTTCAGTGTCCATATTTAGTAGGTGGCAGTAGTCGTGTGTTAGAAGCGCCTTGTTAGCTTTGCTGTTAGCCATTGTTGTTGTTTTTTCACTTGCCTGTCGCTATGCTTCCTACCCAGAGCTCTTCACAGTGCTGCCGCTCTCTCCACCATCTTGCCAGAAGTCCCCAGTGGTCTCCGTGATGTGGCGTATACTTCCGCCATGTTTGAGTTTCTGTTAGTCTTCATTTGTTTATGTTGTGACTCCACCTTGATGGGACGGTTTGTCCTGTTTTCACTCATCTTTCTCTTGTAGTTTGTCTGTTTTAGTCTGGAGTTGCCAGTGGCTTTGTTGGTCCCTACTGGGTCGGTCCTTACCCAGTCAGTCTGGCCCTGCTTGGCCAGCTCACCAGCTCCACCTTTCTGTTTAAACTTCTGGGTTTTTTGCTCGGACACTTGAAGGCAAAGGCTCTCAATTTTTCTCAGTCTTTTCAGAGAAAGAAACAAAACAGTTGAACAAACGAAAGTTTCAAGAAAATACAATGCTTGAATTCGTGTCCTCCCTAAAATTGTAGTGACCTTTTGGGCTGTTGCTCTCACCTCAAGTCAATTCTTAAAGGACTTGTGGTTAGATTCCCCGAGTCCTCTGCCACTGGTAGAGTAACTGGTGCATTACTTGACCAGTGGAGCATCCAGTGGTGAGGCAAAGCCTCATACACTGCCGGAAATAAAGCCGAACCCTGACTGATCAGTTCTGGATCAGAACGGAACAGCTTCCTTAGGAGGAGCAGCTTTGCATCCCTGAATGAATTGGTTTTCTGGCTCTAACTGATGATATTGAATAAATGTTTTATGTGCATTTACTGCATAATGTCCAAGCCTGCGTGGGTCACCTGAAGCCTCGTCTGGTCCAGTTGACTACTGGGGAACTATGTGTCTAGTGTTGGTGGAGGAAGGAAGCCATGGTCGTACTAAGCGAATATCCACGTGTTTTCAGATGTTCCAGACCTAAAAACTTTTAAATAACTTCAGCCATAAGAAAACAGTTAAACTTTCTTTCATTTTTTTCTCAGGTTTTGCAGAAACTGGGAAAAGCAGACGAGACCAAAGATGAGCAGTTTGAACAAGTGGTGATAAACTTCAAGAGACAAGAGGTGAGAGACGTTTCTTCTTCTAATGTCTTTCCAAACTCTTCATCTTCTCCATGAATTACCAGGTCTACCAGAGAGACTGTATGGAGAGCCATTTCAGCCGAAATTAAATAAATAAATGGGTGGGAAAAAAATGAGTAAAATAAATCAGTAAGTGAAGAAAATAAGTGAAATAAACAAAAAATTAGTTAAATAATTTAGCTTTTTCATTAACCCAATTTTTCATTTATTTTTTATATTATCAATTTCTCAATTTCCTCTTTTCATTTATCTATTTTTCATTTACCCATTTTTTATTAATCTATTTTTCATTTAACCATTTTTTAATTTGGCTTTTTCATTAACCCAATTTTTCATTTATTTATTTTTCATATCAATTTCTCAATTTCTCTTTTTCATTTATCTATTTTTTATTTATCCCTTTATCCATTTACCAATTTTTTATTAATCTATTTTTCATTTAACCACTTTTAAATTTCCCTTTTTCATTAACCCAATTTTTCATTTATTTATTTTTCAAATGATCAATTTCTCTATTCCCCTTTTTCATTTATCTATTT